ATGACATACGGGCAACTACTTCCAGACGGCCCACGCAGAAACCACTCACGAAGCTGCTGGGGAGACAGGGTCTCGCTCCGACGCTGCTGCTGCTGACGCTGGCCACCCCCATAACCGACACGCCGAGCGCCAGTCCCACCGCCACCAGTCCCACCGCCTCCGCTGCCGCCACTCCCACCGCTGCCTCCACCACCGCCACCAGAGCCCCCACTCCCGCCACCACTCCCATCGCCGCCACCACCTCCACTGCTGCCCCCTCCACCACTCCCGCTGCCACCTCCACCACCGCCGCTGCCACTACCACCACCCCGGCCACCCTTGCCCTTGTTGCTGCGGCGCTTCGCACTAGCAGAAGCAGCCCTGACGTCCTCAGGAACAGAGACGTCTGCAGTAGTAGCAGAGGCGTAGGAGGGGGCAAGGGGGAAGGGGGAACACCCCTCAAAGAAGGGCGAGCGCGGAGTGCCACGAGCAGCACCTACAGCAACTGCACTAGTCTCAGCTGCGAGGAGATGCTGCTCGAGGAGGTCAACAGTGAGGGAGGTGGGGTCAAGAGAGAGGAAGTGGTCCTTGACAGAGCGAAGAGATTCAGGGAGGCGGGTGACTATAAAGTAGAGAGTGATGTACATCGGGGGCGGGTTCCTATCAAGGAAATCCGCAGGAACGGCAGCGCGGTAGCGAGCGTCACTAGCGCGAAGGTGGGAAACCAGGTCCTCGACTGTGGCAAAGGCGGATAGCTCGGGGAACAGGTAGGGCAGAAGGAGGCGGCCTAGAGCAGCAGTGGCAGGGGAGGAGTAGCGAGCGACTACAGCATCGTACAGTGCCTGTGCTGTCCTGTGCTTTCCGAAGTGAGCGCACTCAGCTAATGGCAGGAGGTTGCGAATGGCTAAGCGGGCAGCAGCGTCTCGAGTAAGCCACTGTGAGCGAGTCGAACTGCGAGAGGGGCAGTAGCCGCTCCTGACGCTAGGTCAAAAAGCGAGACACTGTCCTTAGAATCGCTCAGTAGGTACAGCTGCAGGTCGTCAAGCCACGTGTCAAACTGAACTGGTCTACCCTCATGATCAAACGCAAGGACACAAAGCGAAGCCATAGCTGTGTAGTACATAGGAGCAGCAGTAGCAGCTGTAGAAGTAGTAGTAGCAGCTGTAGCAGGAGCAGCAGTGACAGTGGGGCGAAGAGGCCGCCGGGGCCGGGCGCGGGCTAGGGACGGGGCTGGGCGCGGGCTAGGTACGGGGCCGGGCGCTGGCTAGGTACGGGGCCGGGCGCTGGCTAGGTACTGGGCCGGGCTTGGGCTAGGTACGGGGCCAGGCGCGGGCTAGGAACGGGGCCGGGCGCGGGCTAGGTACGGGGCCGGGCGCGGGCTAGGTACGGGGCCAGGCGTGGGCTAGGTAGGGGGCCGGGCGCGGGCTAGGTACGGGGCCGGGCGTGGGCTAGGTACGGGGCCGGGCGCGGGCTAGGTACGGGGCTGGGCTCTGGGCAAGTACGGGGCCGGGCGTGGGGCGCGAAACGGGGCCGGGCGCAGGGCTATGTACGGGGCCGGGCGCGGGCTAGGTACTGGGCCGGGCGCGGGGCTAGGTACGGGGCTGGGCGCGGGCTAGGTACGGGGCCGGGCGCTGGGCAAGGGACGGGGCCGGGCGTTGGGCGCGATACGGGGCCGGGCGCTAGGCAAGTGACGGGGCTGGGCGCTAGGCAGGTACGGGGCCGGGCGCTAGGCAGGTACGGGGCTGAGCGCGATACGGGGCCGGGCGCGAGACTAGGTACGGGGCCAGGCGCGGGCTAAGTATGGGGCCGGGCGCGGGCTAGATATGGGGCTGGGCGCTGGGCAAGGGACGGGGCCAGGCGTTGGGGAGGTACGGGGCCGGGCGTTGGGCGCGATACGGGGCCGGGCGCGATACGGGGCCGGGCGCGGTCTAGGAACGGGGACGGGCGTTGGGCGCGATACGGGGCCGGGCGCAATACGGGGCCGGGCGCTAGGCTAGGTACGGGGCCGGGCGTTGGGCGCGGAACTGAGGCCGGGCGCGAGGCTAGGTACGGGGCCAGGCGCGATACGGGGCCGGGCGCGATACGGGGCCTGGCGCGATACGGGGCCGGGTGCGAAACGGGGCCGGGCGCGATACGGGGCCGGGCGTGAGGCTAGGTACGGGGCCGGGCGCGGGCTAGGTACGAGGCCGGGCGCGAGGCTAAGGGCCAACGTGGCCGGGCGCGGGCTAGGAACGGGGCCGGGCGCGGGCTAGGGGTCGACGGGCCGCGTAGGCTAGGAGCCACGGGCCTAGGGGCGGATACTAGCAGCGTAGCAGGTGGTGGGCCCAAGGAACCTGCTCTGATTCCATGTTAATCTAATGAACGAGAATGAATGCATAGAACAGAAGTTGGGTACAAGTACTAACCCTAATTGGGTTGTACCCCTTATGGGCTACCCCACTGCAGCCTACACAAATGTATAAGCTATAATGTTCTGACACTTGGAGCACGACGATGCCTTGCGCGTTTGCGCGCAGGTGTTCGCTGTTGGCAACAGTGACGTAGGTGGCGGGAGCGCGGCTGATGTTCGAGATGTAACGAACAGGATCCCACCATGTACTGGCCGCAGCAGTTGTCTAGGTACCAGGTGTTGTGGGCGCGGTTGTTGTTGCGGAGAAGCAGCGCGAGCCGAGGAGTAACAATAGTCGTCTGGTATCTTCTGAGGAAATGTTCATCCTCTCTCCATCCCACGGGAACCAAGTGCTGACACTCGTGAGGTGGGCTTTCTCTCAGCTGAATTGGCAGGTGCCATTCTTGCTCGTCCTCATCTTCGTAATAGTAGTTGCGTTCTGTAAAGGGATTGTTCTACCCTTCTTCGGGTTGGATTAGTCCGCCGGTAGGCTCGTCCTCTTCATTCGACGAAGTAGCGCGTGGGCGACGTCTTGTCGCCATGTTTGCGATTACGTTTCTGGTAGCTCCCGGTTAGGGTGCTTGTGTCTGTTGCTGCTGATGTTGTTGAGCAGGTGGACGAGGAGCTTGGTGTTGAGGCTGAGAATTGCGAGTGTCTTGCCGGCCAGCCTAGTTTTTCTGGTGAGAGGAGTTCTGGGGGCGATTGTTGAACCGGTACCTGCATCGGTCCGTTGAGTGTCCAAATATCTTGCATATTTTGCAGTAGTAGCGCCTCGGTTGTCGTCGCTCTTCTTGATTGTCGGCGTAGAAGGCGAGTTGGTTCCGTCGTGGCGCAGAGTTGGACTTGCTTGAGTCCATGTCTTGCTGTTCTGTCAGAAGAGCGGCGCACAAGGCGGCTTCTGAGATTGTCTCCCTTTGTTGGAGCAGCGCTTTGCAGCGCTTCCACTCGGGCCCGAGTCCTTGAAGGACTATGTTGACAAAGATTTCCTCTGAAATTGCGCTTCCATGCTTCGTGATTTGATCACGGATGTTCCAACAGCGATTGATATACGAATTTGCTTTCTCCCCGTTCCCCATCTTTGTCTCCATGAGTTGCTGCAGGAGCCTGCTGGAGCTGACTGAATCCTTCGGTTGATATACCTCAACGAGGTGCTTCCAAGCTTCCAAGGCTGGAGCGGCGCTCTCTTTGTAGGAGCGGATGTCGAGTTGCTCCGCGGGCGTCATGTTCCTTAGCAGCATGTTGTACGCCATGAGGGACTTGTTGTAGTATTGAGCCCGGGCGTCTTCGGTGTCTTCCACCGGTTTAGGATATAGGAGCCGTCGAAGTAATGGTAGATCTGCACTGTCTGTAGGAGGAGCTCTAGCTCAAAACTCCATGTATAGAAGTCCTTGCCGTTGAACGCGGCGGTAGTCTTGATTTTGGAGACACTGAGAAAACGTGCTTGCGCAGAATTAATGATTTCATCACTTGGACGGGGGGCTGTTGGTGTTGACTTGTCTGTGTCGAGGGAGAAGGTGTGCGCAGCGGTATCACGGTTTTTTGTGGTCGGTTGAGCAGATTGTGCTGGTTGCGATGAGGTTCCCGCGTCGCCTTTGCGCAGTGCTTGGAGATCTTTCTCCATGGTTGATAGTCGCGAAAACAACTGCTCGAGCACAGCTGTACTTATCGTATTTGTCGCCTCATTTGTCGCAGCCGCGTCGGCTTGTCATTCGGCCGTCAGATTCGTTGGCCTCCGGATCCTCCGGCCATCCTGGTCTTGGAGCGTGCGCCGCTCGCCAGTTCTTGGTTCAGCGAATTTTAAGAGAAGCAACAACGCAAGAGCCCAACGACACAACAACGCAACAACGCAACGGCACGACAGTGCGACGGTGCAAGAGCGCAACATCGCAACGGCGCAAGAGCTCAAGAGCGCAACGGTACAACAGCACAACAGTGCAACTGCGCAAGAGCCCAACATTGCAATGGCTCAAGAGCGCAACGACGCAATAGCGCAAGAGCGCAACGGTGCAACTGCGCAGAAATCATAGAGTAACAAAACTAAACATGTTGAACTTTGTAGGGATACAAGTTGTCGGTGCTGTTCGATTTGGGGCGGTACAGTAAGCAAATGTTATGCTCAACCTCGCACACGGCACTCGTGACCTGCGTGGAAGCACCACGTACTCCCTCCCTTCCCTTACACCCTCCACTTCTCATCTCCGTCCAAATCCCAATCCGTGCCACACGGGGATTCACGACGACTCCCCACCCCACCACCCCACCATTGCTCACTGGTCGCCAACACTAATATCTCCTCCCATCACTCCTCACTTCTTGCTCCGGCGTGCTCCGTCACATAAAACTAGTTATCACTTGTTCCTGTGGTCGCTCCACCACCGAGCATCCACTTTTCCGCGGTCTCGTCTCACCGCCAGCGGGCGTCCTATCACCGCCCTCCGTTCTCCGCGCGTTTAGCGGCGTTTAGGTTACCAATCGAGTTTGAATTTCTCCCTCGAAATATCCGAACAGCATAGCCACCTACGTGATTCTGATTCCAGTGAGCAGATTGTAGTCTCGTGAAGGCACCTTTCCTCCTGCGTCGCGGTCTTGCAGCCGACGAGCACTTATCACATAACTTGAAGGTAGAGTCGAGATGAATCGCATATTTGGTGTGAAGAAAGAGAAGACGCCGGCACCGAGCCTCACGGAAGCGTCAGAAAGAGTAAGTACAAGAGTAGCTTCGCCGTCGCGGTATCCACGTCGCCCTTCCTTTCCCCCGCGCCGTCGCCCGCCCTCCTTTCCTTCTATCGCTGCATGCCCTTCTTGTTTTCTTGCTTCTCCCCCTGATATTTGAATTCGTTCGTCTCCTCTGCTGCACCTCGTGTCACCACCTCCCTGCACCTCTATCATCGTCGCCCTCTCTCGTTCACACCATCTCCATGCGTGTCTTATCGTCGCGTGCCATGCCATGTCATCTTGCTCACCAACCACCCTGCACACTCTCCACGATACCGCGCCGCGCCACGTGTGTCCCTGTCAGATCAATGCGCGAGGCGATTCGTTGGACGAGAAGATCCGCAAGCTAGAGGCGGAGCTGGTGCGGTACCGCGACCAGATCAAGCGTACGCGACCCGGGCCGGCGCAGGAGGCGCTCAAGGCGCGAGCCATGCGCGTGCTGAAGCAGAAGAAGATGTGAGCATCACTCGCCGTGGTTCACGGGGCGTGGTTGATAGGGCGTGCATTAATAGGTTGTGGTTGGCGTGGTGGTGGCTCTCACGTTGTGGCGTCTGTTGGCGTGTGCGTGTGTCCCAGTGTGTGTCGAGTTACTCGTCCATTCTGTACTGCCTCTCTCGTCTGCTACCATGCTCTCACTGCGACCATCTCTCTCCTCCTTGCATGTGAACGCTGTGCTGCACTTTTCGCATGGGACGTGGCGCATGGGTGGCGGGTGGCAGGTTGGAGGGGCAGAGGGACAATCTGTACAACCAGAGTTTCAACGTGGAGCAAGTGGCGTTCGCGCAAGAGGGCATCAAGGATGCGCAGGCCACTGTCAGTACCACCCCATGCCTGCCCCAGCCATGCCTGCCCCCGCCATACCTGCCCCCGCCATACCTGCAAAGATCCCATTCATGCCACAACCATGCTTCCCCTTACTCTGTGTGTTCCCACGCCCCCACTTCTCCTCCCCCCACTTTCCCCCATTCACCCCCTCACCCATCCTCTTCCCCATGCCCCCTCACCCTGCGTTGGTGACTGCGCGCGGCAGGTGGCGGCCATGAAGGCAGCGAACAAGGAGCTCAAGACGCAGATGAAGTCCGTCAAGATCGAGGACATCGATGTGAGTGCCGCACTGCACCGCACAGCACCGCACTGCGCCATGCTGTGAGTCTGTGACCCCCGCATTGCACACGCGCACGCACTCTCGCCCTGCTCCTGCTGCGCGTTCCGCGCTTCCCACACCTCGTTTCTGCGCCACCCAATTGTTTTCCGCCTCCTCGTGTTGCTCGCTTCATTCGCTGCCGTTCCCGCACCCAGCTCCACCACAAGTGCAGCAGGCAGCAAGCCCACGCAGCCTTAAATGTCACCCCTGTGCACAGGGAAAATCCTGTTCATGAGATGTGTGTTTTCAATCAGAACTCCTTGGTCCTCTACTCACCTACTCTCCACCACGGCTCCCTTCCCTCGTGTGATCCCTGTGCCGTGGCCCGGCGTGGCATGGAGCAGAGCATGCAGGACGACATGTTTGACTTGATGGACTACAGCAACGAGATCCAGCAGGCGCTGGGCCAGTCGTACGGCGTGCCCGATGACATTGATGAGGACGAGCTGCTCGGTGGTGCGCTGGGGGCATGCCGTGGTGTGGGATGGGAGGGTATGGGGTGGCATGGGATGGCCTGGGATGAAGATCGTGAGGTTATGGCGGACTTGGGCAGTGGAGGGGAGGGAGGGGTTCAGTGCAAGATGGAAAGTAGTTTTTCACTTCCCTCCCCCTTCCCGCTCCCTTGCAGCTCATTTTCCATTTCGTCTAACCCCTCCCCCCTCCTCCCTTCCTACTCCTTCGTCACTGCTCCCTTCCCCCTTCCCCTTCCCCATGCTCCGTTCCTGCTCCTCCCTTTCCCCTCCTGCACTCCGTGTGTCGCCCTTTTCTCCCCACCCTCCTCCCTCTCTAAATCCGTCAACTCACCCCCTTGGTGTTTCGTGGCGGGGCATGGCGGTGGTGGTATCAGAGCTGGACGCGTTGGAGGCGGACATGGGCGTGGATACAGCAGACGCCACGCCCTCGTACCTGCTGCCGGACTCGGAGCCCGATGCGCTCGAGGCCGAGCCCGACCTCTTCCTGCCCTCCGCTCCCACTGCCAACACCGCCTCTGCTGTGCCGGTCCGTCTCCTGCTGGGGAGACCCTCGCTCTGCTCTGCTCTGCTTGCTTCGTGTTGCACCTGCGGGCACATGCATGCACGCCCACATGCACCCCCTATGCACATGCACGCCCACATGCACCCCCTATGCACATGCACGCGCAACTGCATTTGCCAACCATTCATGTTTTTGTCTGTGGTGGAGCGTCATGGTGGAGTTGTTGATGCAGTTTCCGTGTCCTCTCAATGTGCAGGTGGCGGAGCCTGCTCGCCCTCTTCGCACGTGACGTGACCCTCACACCACTCCACTCGCACACGCCTTTGAGGCGCGTCAGAATAAGACTCCCATGTGTTGTGTGCGCTGCGCACGTCAACAGCAATATGCCAGATGCTCACACGAACACCACACTGCAGCGCAACAAAGATGTGCCACAGGACGGCGCTGCCTGCCTGCAATACCACACCTTGCACCTAGCATGTAGCACGTAGCATGCAGCATGTAGCACGTAGCATGCAGCATGTAGCACCTGGCGACTGCCAGACGTGGCAGCAAAGCCATGGAGGTAGAGAAGGGCGTGGCAGTGTGATGATGAGAAGTTGAGAACCACTCCTTGTGGTTCCCCAGTGGGACACCGCGAACGACGCCTCGGCAAGCAGTGCAGCTGCGCATGAGTCTGGTAGGGAGACGGGGTAGTTCTATTAGTTCATCTCATCAGTGTGCACTGCAAGCTTGCCCTGCCACTCCCAGCTGTCTATCCTGTTCCGCAAAGCAGGTTCTGCCAGCCAGCAGTTTGTTGAATTTGTTTTCAAACCATTTATTGCAGTGTTCTCTCGTTGTATGGACTAGGGTGCACTTTCAACCCGAAGGGTTATTCTATCTCCTCGGATCGCTTTGTAACGGGGATTAGCAGTCAATTGGCATGCATGGCGGCCATCGCGTGTTACCTAGTACCTACCTACCTGCTCCCTCCCTCCTTCCAACCTCCGCTTCTCCCGGATCACCGATCACTGATCACCGCATTCACCAGCGCACGCTCTACTTCATCACACCTTTCCTAGCCGTTTCTCGTCCGACCATTAGTCTGTCTGCCGTTGCTCCTGCCCTCACTGCGACGATCCCGCGCTCCTGCTCGCATGTGCGCGCGTCCCGCCCTCGGACGTGTCGCGCATGACTCGTCGTTATTCTCTTTCCTCGCGCTTGCCCTCGCGTTAGCCCTCGCGTTCTTGCGTTCCTTGCTTGTCCTCCCGCAATGCTCCTCGCGCGCCGGCTTTCCTCTCCGCCCTGCTCCTTGCGCCTCCCCTCCCTTCCGCGCCTCGCTCCGTTCCTCCTGCTCCTGCTACTCGCCGCCCCGCATCTCCCGCCGTCTCTCGCGCAGAGCCAGTCCCCGCTGTCCGGCCAGGGGCTCGCACCTTACCCGACGCTGCTGACGCCACCGGGTCGCAATGGGCAGGGGGACTGCCGCGCGCTGCAGATGGGGGACGGGGGGACGTGCGCGAGCGCGGGGGGAGGGGAGCCCGCGGTGCGCGCGGCGTACACGCCGGTGTTTGTGTCGGTGGTGCTGAACAAGCTGCTTGATGTGAGAGACACCGCGCGCGCACCGCTGCGCGCGTTACTGCGCCGCGCGTCTTTCCCTCCTGCTCGTGGCGTTGCGTTCCGTGAACAGTTTTCACACTGCCATGCGCCATGCGCCATGCGCCATGCGCCATGCGACATGCGCCATGCGCCGCGCTCCAGCCTCCTCCATCTCCGCGTCCTCTCCCCGCGTCTGCCAACCCCTCGGACCCCCCTCCCCCCCTCTCCCTCTTCGCCCCCTTTCCCTCTTCGCCCCCCCGCCCCCCCCGCGCGCAGGTGGACGACGAGCGGTACCAGTTCGAGGCGATCTTACACCTGCGCATGTCGTGGCACGACCCGCGCGCGCCGCTCGAGATCCGCCGGCGCACCGCGGAGACCTTCCTGGCGGGGAATCCCTCCGCGTGCGCGCGCGTGTGCGCCAAGGGGCGCTCCCTGTGCTGCGACTCGGTGTGGCTGCCGGGCGTGATGGGCGGCAACCTGCTGTCGCTAGAGGACGAGCGCACGGAGTGGGAGGCCATTGCGCTGCAGCCCGGCAACCACAGCAACGTGCGCTGGGGGCGCCGCCTGCGCGCCACCTTCCACGCCGCGCTGCGCTTCCACCGCTACCCCTTCGACACGTGAGCCATGGCAGGGCGCACAGGAAGGAGAAACTGTGGGAAACACGGGGTTACGATGCGCACGCGGGGCCAGCTGCGAGGTCTGATCTGACCCTATGAGAGGATGCGCGCATGGGACTGATTGGGAATGCATGATATGATGTATGAGCGGATTCTTTAGCTGCTGCTGCTGCTGCTCCCTTGCGAGTTGATTCACAAGCAGCATTCCACGCTCTCGTCATGCCTCGCCCGCATGTCTCCTCCCTTTCCTCTCCTGCCCCCTGGCCTGCTTCTTCTGCTGTGTGGAGTGCAGGCAGCAGCTGGTGGTGGAGCTGTGGGCGGAGAGCTGCTGCTACTCCTTCGTGCCTAGTGCCGCCGCCATCCGACGGCCCCGCTCCTTGCTGCCCTCTGCCCTCGCCCCATCGCATGTCCACGACAGCAACTCTCCTTCAGCCACCACCCACAGCAGCAGCAGTGGCAGCACGGGGCGGGGAGGGGTGTCGAGCGGGGCGGACGGGGCGAGCAGGGCTCGCATGCGGCGGGGGCGGGTGAGGAGGGATGACGGCAGCGGGCCGGACGACCTGTCGGGGTGGCAGGTGGAGAGTGTGTACGTGCAGGCCCAAGCAACACACGTGGGGCGCATGATGCAGTGGGTGGAGGAGCCCCATGCGGACGAAGTCTTCTGTGTGCGCTCGGAAGAGCTGGGCGGGGCCACACTGGGTGGGGGGGGCACTCCATGCGGCACCATGCTGTGGGAGGGTGAGGAGGGCGGGGAGGAGGAGGAGGGGGAAGAAGAGGCGGGGGAGTGTGGGAGCGGGAGGGTGGAGAGCAGCGAGTGGAGGGCGTGGCAGGAGCGGGAGCAGCAGCTGGCAGCAGCATCGCTCAACTCAACGCTGCTGATCGTGATCCGCGTGCAGCGCATCTGGCACTACTACCTCTTCCTCTTCCTCCTCCCCACCTTCCTCGCCGTGGCCCTCTCCTGGACCTCCTTCTGCATGTCCCCGGAGCACCTCGAGCTGCGTGTGGGCACGGGCGTCACGCTCTTCCTCGCGCTCACGTCGCACCAGTTTGTGATATTTGACACGCTGCCGCACTCGAGCTACGTGACCATCATGGGGTGGTTCATCATCTGGTCATACGCGCTCATTGTCTTTGCCGTGCTGCAGTCACTGCTCGTCAACTACGTGTACTGCATTGGGGAGACGGCAGCGCGCGAGCACAATGAGTCGGTGGCAGCGCGGGCTACTAGACGGCTCCTCATGGGGTCCGCAGGAGCGGTGGGGAGGGCGGTGTCGGGGATCAGGGATGCGAGTGCGAGTGGGAGCAGGGCTGTGAGTGCGAGTGTGAGTGCGAGTGGGAGTGGGAGTGGGATTGGGAGTGGGAGTGGGGGTGGGAGTGGGAGTGGGAGTGGGAGTGGGAATGTGGGGAGGAGTTACAAAGCGGTGCGGCTGTCCTCTGCAGGTCGCTGGCCCAGCCTGTCCCCGCAGGCCCTCTCCCTGCTCTGGCGCCCCTCTGCCTCTATTGTTGCTGCTGCTGCTGAGCCGCTGCTCGCACAGGAGGGACCGGTAGGGGGTGGGGAGGGTGGGTGGCGAGGGAGGCACGGGGAAAGCAGCAAGGATGCTGCTGGGTTGGGGGGGAGGAAGGGTGGTGAGGAAGGGAAGGAGGGAGGAAGGGAGGGGTTGAACGAGGGGAAGGGAGAGAGCGATGGTTTGGGAGGGGTTGAGCGAGTGGCAGAGGAGAGTGTGGTGGGAGATGCAGGTAGGAGTGAGAGCAAGCCCCCACAGCACACCGCCAGTGGTGGAGTGCGGTCAGGTGAGCGTGGGAGCAGTGACAAGCCATGTGCACCGGTGATCCGGCCATGCGGGGATCTGAGGGAGCAGGAGAGTGAGCGGGAAGCTGTGTCACAGCAGCCAACCGAGCAGGAAAACGAGTCGGAGATGGGAGTAGAGAAGGTGAATCGACGGGGTGTGCTTTCTGAGAGTGAGTCGTTTGCGGGGCTGTCTCACCTGTCGAAGCGCATTCAAGAAACGGTGGCGCAGGCGGGGCATCTCAAGGGCATGGTGGAGCAGGACCCCAACCGCGCCAAGATATTCATCTCGCGCCTCGATGGCCTCTGCCTTGTCGCCATGCCCCTGCTCTATGTGGGCGGGCTGCTTTGGATCTACATGGTTGTGGAATGATAAGGATGGTCTGGTGGGGGTGGTTTGGAAGGCGGGTGGGTGGGATGAGAAGGGCTTTCCAACTGTAGCCAGTTTGGCATACATTTTATTAGTTTTATATGTAAATATGCAGATAGTAGTAAACATTGAGTTGTAGCTGGTTGGTGCTGTTTCTTGAGCATCTTAGCATACAGTTAAATTCATCATTTTTTCAGATGGAGGACACAGAGATATTGGTCAGCCATTGTGTAGTTGTGTTTAAGCAGATAAGTGTGCACGTGACGAACGGCGTGACGGTGATAGCACTTATGGTGAAGCGTCTGCGAGCCTTCCCCTAGAGCCCTTACCTGTCGCGCACCTTCCAAGCCGTTCATCCATTCCGGGATGTTTCGCCAACACCTCATCACCCTTTCGCCAGTCGCCCGTCAAACCCTCAACACTCGTCTGGAATATTCCGGTACACTGCTCTGCCCCTGCGACTCCACGTAGTCAGGGCAGGTGTGGCTCTCCTGCCCAGACCCCTTGCCAGTTTGCGGTGCGACCGCGTGTATTTCATGGAGGAAGAACCGCGCAATCTTCAAAATCTTCACATCAAGCCTCCAGCTATTTCTGAACCAGCCTCCAGTTGTTAGGAACTCTGCGAACTTTGATTGGTTGACCTCAGCCGCCATCCATCCTGATCGTCCGTCAGAGCCCAGCTGTATCATCTTGCCGATCTCCAACCCCTCTGGTTCCTCGCCTCTGGCGCACAAACCACAACAAAATCGTGCCGTGCGTCCACGTGTTGCTTCCCTCCCCTCCTCCCGCTTTTTCGCCCTCCCCTCACGGCCACCCCTCACCTGCGGTTGGGTCCCCTCACCTCACCACCACCCTCGCCTCCCTCCTGCCTGATTTTAGACGTTACCTCGCGATTGTTTCGATCCTCTCTCATCACTTCCCATCTCCACAACCCGTTTGGGTTTGGGTTTGACTAGTGTGTCAGTGGTCGAGATCGTGCTCTGACAGGCTTCAGACTCCTAGTTCAGGTCTTCTACGCCATCGCCCCTCCAGCGATCGGCTAGATCAATCGGCCGCTGCCTTGCATTAGGGTTTCGGCAGTGAAAGCTGACTTCGCAGGTTGGGCCGATTTTGGTTTGTTCTGGCTGCAATTGCCTCCTCGAGCAGTGACCATGGCTTCGCTCACCATGACTCACACGTGCGCGACTGGTCAGACAACGTCCTTCAATTCCCTTCTGAACTCGTCAAGACATACAACACCAGTCACCGCATCCGCGTCGTTGGTTCCACGTGTGACCAGCAGCCATGCGTCATCGTCATCGGCGCAGACGTCTCGCTCTTCTCCCCCAACCACGCCCTTCGTTCCGAATTCGAATTCTCCTCGCGCTCCTCTGGCGCCGTCTCTCAAGGCTACCGTGACAGATTGCCCGCCGACCGACACCAAGTCTTCGAATGTCACCCGCCAAGGAGACAGGGCGAATGGTTCACCTGCGGATAATTCGTCTCCGTCAGCTAATCTCCAAACTGATCCTCTGCCGGCCCTGTCTCTGGCGACAGCGGCACCTATTTTGAAGTACTCCCCTGAGGGCAAGCTGGTGGTGGGCGTCGGAACCATGTCGGAGGCCGATTGGGCTGCCGCCTTCGGCATCAACTCGGGCCATCTGATTCCCGTCACCGTCCCTCGCTCCGCGCAGCTGCTGCTTCCGTCGCCTGCCTCCAATTCTCGTCCCGCGCTGCCTCCTGCCGTGTCGAGCTCGCAAGACCCAGCTCCACGCTTTGCCGCGATTGTAGGACAGGCGGAATTGAATGGCTCGCTGGCCGCACCTCCTCAAAGCGAGAGCTTGGAGAGGAACGGCGCTGCGGCGGTGATGGAAGAGGATGTGTGGCTGCAGATTCGTGCCGAGGCACGTGCGGCTGCGGAGGAAGAGCCAGCTCTAGCGAGCTACCTGTACTCCACCGTGCTCACCCACAGATCGCTGGAACCAGCGCTTGCTGCGCACATTGCCAACAAGCTCTCGTCGCCCACCTTGCTCGCGTCGCACCTGTTCGAGCTCTTCAGAGAGATGTTTCTTGATGACCGCAGCATTCAAGCCGCCATCCGGGCTGATCTGATGGCAGTGCGGCAGAAAGATCCAGCATGCGACGGCTTTCTCCTCTGCTTCTTGAATTACAAGGGATTCGCAGCTCTTCAGGCTTACCGCGCGGCGCACAGGTTGTGGCAGCAGGGTCGATACAGTATGGCAATGGCGCTCCAGAACCGCATGTCGGAGGTGTTTCAGGTGGATATCCACCCCGCCGCGCAGATAGGCAAAGGGGTAATGTTGGATCACGCAACGGGAGTGGTAATCGGCGAGACCGCTGTTGTCGGAGACGAAGTGTCCATGCTGCACAATGTCACGCTTGGCGGTACTGGCGCCATTGCTGGTATTCGCCACCCACGCGTGGGCAGGGGTTCAGTCATTGGTGCAGGGGCCCGGATTCTAGGTCCTGTGACTCTGGGCGAACGGGTGAAGGTGGGAGCCGGTAGCCTGGTGTTGACAGACGTGGAGGCAGAAGCCACTGTGGTGGGCAACCCTGCAAAGATAGTGAGGAGGAAAGGTGATGGGAAGGGGAATGGAGGAGATGAGTTTGTGCTGGACTATGTCATCTAGTTGTCATTTAGCTAGGCATGGGCTTCAGTCTAGTGCCTGGGAATTTGTTTGCTTGACATTTTTTTGTACATGATCGATTTATGAAAGTGGCGCAACTCCCATTTCAGTGTCTATTTGGTGAGATGAATTGCTCTCGGGCAAACAATCACTAGAAACTTGACAAACGAATAATCTGACAACTGTGATGATACCGCAACAGTATTTTCTGGTGATGAATGTCTATCCTTATTGGGCAAGTAAAATTTGATAACGCGTACAAGGACGATGTTTTCAGCCCATCTCTCCTGATCGTGCGGCAGACGCACTGGGCTGGGCACACATCGGTTGTCAGCATCGCACGCACGAAGGAACCAAGCCATCGTGCGGCGTCGTAGAGCTCGTCATAAGCACATCTTGAGCTTCGTTACAAGCGCACAAAGCGGCAGCAGCACTCCAGCGACCAGCCCATCAACAACACTCCTCTCCCGCCATAAACTGGACCTCTGTCGTCTTGCTCTCATTTTCAACTCAACCGCACCTCGAGCTTGTCTGCTGGTCGGCCTTGATTTCTCCTTACGTTTCTGACACAACTTCACAACTTTAGTTCAGTTCGATCATAGACGCAGGCGCAGATTGTCGCTTATTTGAGTGGTCCTTGCAGCTCCGTCCTCTGCAGACTCGCCGGAATGCTGCATGTGCGCCATGTTTGCAGTTAGCTCCCCAGCGACTTCTATGGAGGCCGTACAGCGAGGACCAAAGGTTGTTGCCCTCAGCATGGCTTCCCAAATGTCTATGCTTCCTTCAAGCCGTCCTCTCCATAGTCCTCCCCGCAACTTATCGTTATCGGCGCGCTTCCTCGCCTCCGCGCCTCGTGCCTCCCTAGTGTCGCCGTTACTCTCCGTTAGGTCGAGCAGATCGTGCACTCCGCGTGGGGGCGTGTCGCTGCTGTCAGATTTCGCGGGCCAAAGAATATCAGTCACGCCCGTTGGACACGACCGATTGTTACGAGGACGTGTGGGTGTGCGGCCGGCTTTAGCGCCGGGAGGGGCGGCAAAAACGGAGGATGGACGGATGCGCGGGGCCGTGGCTAAGGCCAAAGCCATCGATGCGCCGCGAAAGACTGAAGTGATTCGGTGAGGGTTTATGAAGGTCCAGCTGATGCGACACTGCCTGGCATTGATTGTCGCATGCGTTACGCCAACCTAAAAGTTAACCTGGCTTCCGGACCTGCCTTGCTCGCTGTTCGCTTCTCGACGAGCGCTAGGACACTGCGATAAGGGCCGCTATTCCGCGCCGAACCCATTCGCGCCACTCAATCGTCCCCATACCCTCGTGCCGATCCCCTCAGGCCTGCCCTCCTTGCTCTCTCCCCCACTCCCCTTTCACATTCGCATTCTCCGTCCTTTCCACACAACCTGCTTTCCGCGCTGCGCGCGTTCGCGCGTGCCTCCTTCCCCGTGCGCAGGCTGAAGCAGAACCAGTGGGTGTACGACGTGTGCGTGGAGCGGCGCTGCACCGTGGCGGATATCCGCGCGCTCAACCCCACCGTCAACATCGACCGCGTCCTCGCCGGCCAGCGCCTCGTCGTCCCGCGCCGCCCCTCGCCCTTCGATCCCATCGAGCGCGAACTCACCCGCGCCGCGCAGCAGCTCTCCACCACCTTTGCCGCCGGCCCAACCGGCGGCGCCGCGCGCATGCAAGCCACCACCCCCCCCGCCAGCGCCGACTCCGACCCCGCTGCCTCCGCGAAAAAGCCCGCTGGAACCACTGCCCCCCCTGCTCCGACCGCCCCCCCCCCCGGTCCTTCCCCCTCCCTCCCTTCCGCAGCAGCCCCGTCCCCCCCCGCCGCGCCCACTGCGCCGTCCGCATCGGCGCGCAGCACGAAGCCGGCGGCGCGCCCGTCCGGCGGGTCGTGGCTGGACTCGCTGCTGGGGGGGCCTGTTGGGGGGGGGCGGTCCGAGGGGGTGGAGGAGTACGTGTTGAAGCGCAAGGAGTGGGTGTGTGACGTGGCGAGCCGCCTTGACGTGGACATCGAGTATCTGCGGCGCCTCAACCCCGGCGTCAATCTCGACAACGTGCGCCCCAAGCAGCGCATCAACGTCCCCAAGAGCCGCGCCGCGCGCCTCCGCCAGCAGCCGACGGCGGCACGCGGGGCTGACGTGGCAGGGGCGGGGTCGAAGGGGGGTAAAGGGGAGGAGGAGACGAAGGGGAAGGAGGGAGGCGGGGTGGCGACAGGGGATGCAGGGGAGAGGGACGGCAGGGCGAAGGGGGTTGGCGCGTCGCTGAAGAGCGCCGACGGGGGGAGTAAGGCCGCGGTCGTGGCTGAAGCTACAGCGTCCGCTTCCGCCTCCGCAGCTGCTTCCCGCGATAAGCCTTCCGCGAGCCAAGCCGCAA